CGACACCCTGTTTACCTGTGTATGACATCAAAGGGATGTCAGCAGGGTTGCTTGGAGGTACCGTAGTTCATTTCAGTTCCATTTCTTTATTTCCGAGAGCCGGCCGACTCACTGGTAAAGATAATAGTACTTAGATTATGTGCCTTCACAACAATGTCTTCAGACACTGCCAGAGTGTGTGTCATTACATGCAAACCACAATTAGTACAACTGATGCACCCGAGAGAAGAAAAAAAAGGAACAAAGCAAATAATGCAGGTCGTGGACATTCGATATATTGACTTGTCAGATTATACAATGACAAATTACTCCTATTTGTGAGATTTGAACACGCTGATTCGTCCAATGAGTGACACATCTTATGCCTCCTAGATAATAGCTCATTATCACTTAAATAGTCAAAGTTGTCGTTTAGGTATATGTAACGTACAACAGTCGGTAGCGACGGAAAACATCAATTAAGAAGCTTTCCGGTGAAATACAAAAAGGCTGTTTTGATGTGGGTTACCAGTATTGAGGCGATCGCCGCTTTTTTTTAGCCTTTTATTGAAGAATATGGGGTATTTTAATAGCATAAGATAGCAAACCATTCAGTCGTAAGCTCGTCTGAACGGAACTTTATATATTTTACTTTTTGAAGCGGCAAATGAAAAATGATATAACAAATTACTGTTTCGGTACTTTTAGTTACACTCTCTTTCGGAGAAAACAGGATTAACAAGGAATCACGACTTCATGTGCTTATTCAAAACCATAGAGGTAAGGGGTTCGACGCACAGCAGGGCAAGATAGATAGATATCTTTTTTCGTCTTTTGTTTTTCATTATTACATTTTTTTGTTTACGATTACAAGGAATGCACCTAGAATCAATTCGGGGTCAGTACAGTAATTTTTGTGTCTTTTAGTAATATCAATAGTGTTTCTATTGTGGTTGGGATTGTTTGTATTTCTTTTTTTCTGACGAAATAAGAAAATTGTGTTTGTCTAGAGTGAAACCACTTTGCTTGATAGTAATCTAAAACTACATGTTTTTCTTATTATTTCTACATAATAGTATATATTGAAAGAGTGCAGAGTTATCGAGGCAAAAATCATGTAGATAAATCAGTAAAACTATTCAGGTTTCTGGCCCAAGAAAAAAAACCACCGATAAAGTGTATGTGTGTGATATCTGACATGACAGTGTTTTCCTGCAGACCTTATTCGCAGTCTTTGGGTTTCATTACAATTTTACATGATATGGCCAGTGGTTTGGTCCGTACAGACGGATCATGCACTCCGTACACATCGAATCATTTCGAAAAATCTCTCCAAACTGAACGTATTCTCGTGAAATTGTAATTCTTAAAAAATGGCAAATTTTGATATGAGATAAAATGATCTTGACCTCCATATTTGCAAATTCTTTAGAAAACATATCAAAGTGCACATTGTGTTACGCAGCATAATACACATTAGATGATAAAACAGTACCTATATACAACAAGATCACGATATATTTTTATAGAAAATCGTTTGATGAAATGCGGCACAGCGTGACTGTCGTTTTGGTATGATTTCCGTTATTTTGGTATTGTGATATTTAAACAGTTCTTTTTGGTAGGAAGTGTCTTAAAATATGTAGAAACTGACATCTTCAGTGCGCATTAATTGGATTACTCCGTACTATACCGATAGGAGTACCCGGTATGGGTGCGCATAATGAGCAACTTAATCATTTCAATCGGCCTGACAAAAGAAAACACCGGTTCAAATTATTCCAAACAAGTAAAATCATATAATACAGTAACGTTTTGTTTATATATTTATTCACAGCTAAGATAAGTGTTGTTCTTAAATTCAAATATAAACAACAAAAAATACTGATACCAAATGTGATTGGTTAACTATCAACCGTTACGTATATCCTAACGAAAGTCAGTAATCCAACAGCTCCATAGTCAGGCCTGGCATGTTAAGTTGTTGGACAGTGGAGAGGGATGGCACCATGGTGGAGGGTAGATGGTGTCTAAAATGTACGATCCCTCCACGTTATGAATATGTACTGGAGTTTTAAGCATGGAGACCTTGTGTCGTTTTATGACTCTAGACGACCTCCACGTTCCCTCAACGCTGTCCAATGGTGGAGTAGCGGTGTAGTGTGGAGTCACATTCCACCGTGGAGTGCTGATGGGGGACTGAACGTGGAGTCATGGTGGCGGGCAAAAAAACAACCACCGCGAAACGTGGGGATCGTATGCCTCCACGCGGTGTGTAGTGTAGCACCATAAAGTCGGCATCAGATCCGCGCTATCACAAGGAGGTAAGCAGACCAACATACCCTGTCTCCGGCACACATACACACATACACGCTTACACAACACACATGAAGACACGTCCTAAAATGACCTTAGCTGTTAATAGGACGTTAAACAATATAAAACCAAACCACACCAAATCCGGTCCCCCGTTCTAACATGACCCTGGCAGTTGCGAGGGATGTTAAATCCCAAACAAACAACAATAACACGAGTTGATTAGTGTGGGCGATGAATAATGCTAGACCTAAACACTAGTTACAGTCGGGGTTATCTACCTGATAATCTTTAATTAACAATGAAGCAATTGTGTAGTCGTCATCACGACAACATGTCCTTATATGGTGTTGAAATGTTTACGCTGACATACTTTCTATGTTGATAACTTATATTTTCCTCTCCCTTTCTGACTTTAACGTAAAACAACACGACTGACAGCACATGTTGAGGGGAGCAGGGCTCTCACAACACCTGTTTTGACCTTGCTTTTCAGGAGTTCATGGTGTTTTGAAGTTTGTTTTCCCATTTTGTCCTTTATAAGAATGTTTCGTTTCATTTCCTTTCTAATTCTAAATTACTGTGAAAACTGATAATCTTTTAATTACGTTACCCCTGCTGATTCGCACAGAAGGATAACAACTTCTGTAATCTACTGTGCATGGCGTTAAAGGCGACAAATGTTGTTTCTCTATATCGACATTTAAGAAACCAAAATGGATCTATTGTTACCTTTCGGTGGTCTTTCTCTATGCACCTGTAGTCGTATGACGCTTGCTGTTACAACGATGTCGATTTAAACCACGAAGTCCCTTTAATGATAACAGGGTATCCCTCGTTACAGATGACCCGAAGATGAAGGTTCTTTTCATTGTTTTATTACATTGGAAAATACCTACACAGTGCACGATACATGACATGGAAACTTATGATATTACATAACTTTCACACAATCAATGGTCTAACAGAAAGTATGAATTAGATATATTTACAATTGCCACTGTTTCTGAATCGATATTTCTCAATAACAAGAGTGTAGAACGTGACCCAGTTCACCGCGTAGGAATATATGTAAATATTGACGGACTTCTTTCCGCAAACCTCATGTCAATGTTTATAAACAAACACTAGAATTTAGACTACCGTGCGTTTGAGACACCAAATGATGTCGGGTTCGAAACAAGACAGATCATGATCATGACCGGTCATAAATATGAAGCTAGTGTCAGAAGCTACAGTCGCGATAGTTCGTCGGTACAAAACGCTCCACGAGCTCCACTCTCTCATAGATGATTGTCGGCCGCTATGACACAGAAACGATGATTTTCACTCCTAGAAATGTATGTCAAATTATCGTCTCCCAAATTTTACATCAACCGTCACTCGGCCGACAAACGATTTATCAACATCATACAGTGTACATGTCATCTGTACAAACCTCTGGTTTGCTTACAAATAGCAATTTCAATAACTGTACATTCAACTTCCAACCAGGCCTAGGTCGACGACATGGTAGCACTCTCTATTTCCCGCCTTTAGGCGCATCACTTTTAAACGATGGACGTCCGCGGTCATTAGTATTTTGTACTAAGTATTTTGCCCCAGAACCTCAGTTTCATACAACTATACAATTATTTATTCCATTACCTACTAATACAATTATAAAGATATTGTATGATGTAAAATATGGATATTTTAAGTGAATACAAATTTTGAAATGGAGGAACTTTTTTCGTTTGTTGTCACGGATAAAGTGGGCGGGGTTTAGCTGTCTGTCAACGGCTTTAACATGACGTCAACATAATTTTGAACGCAGATAACACAAGGTAGATGCTTGTATCGGACTCTTTTAATGGGGTTATTGTTAAAAGAAAATCTTGTAAATATAAGGATTAACCTTTAAATAACATTAATATAAAAAGAGACATGTATACATTCAACACACTTACCAAGAAGTGAACAGTGAAACAGCGATGAATGATGGAATGTCTGTACGATCTGATACCTCAGAAGGCAGCTGCTTTTGAAAGGGTTTGAAGAGTGATCGTGCAGGGAATAACAGGGGTTAAGCGTGCGTACTCATTCATCTAATCATCTTAGTTCTCTCATGTTCATATGTGTAACACAATATGTAGGCGCAGACATCTCTGAAAAATCGGCATAAGATCAGCGCTATAACAAGGAGGCAAATACACCGACATACCCTGTCTGCGGCACACATACACACATGCACGCATGCACAGCACGTAAGGAGGCACGTCCTTATATGGCCTTAGCTGTTGATAGGACGTTGAATCCTGATGACCAACCAACCAATCGATAGAGTTGGCATCAGATCCGCGCTATTACAAGGAGGCAAAAACAACCAACATACCCCGTCTCCGACACACATACACACATACACAGCATACATGGAGGCAAGTCCTAAACTGATCTTAGCTTTTGATAGGACGTTAAACTCTATAGAACCAACCAACCAACCTGTTGGGAGTCCGTCAACCCTGATTAGTGTATACCTAAGTATACATTAGATACAAAAGGTTACAACATGATAAACGATTATAAATACCGGGTCACTATCATCCGGGTACATAATCCTCGGACTGAGTCCTATTTGTTATCAGCCTTATCGCCCTTATCGCCACACATATCCGATACAACAATACCCGTGTGTATTCTGACAAATAACACTACCGATTTCGTGACATTAGTGGTTCACACGACACTTGAAATGAATACAGAATTGTTTTCAGCCAAATGAGTGTGTGTACTAGTACTGCTGTTTCATGGATTCTAAACATATGAACGGAGAAAACATTTCCTTCTTAAACCAAGGTGATTAACTACGATGATTGCATTGGAGACTACACAGATCGCGACTGTAATACACCAGGATCACGTTTGACAACAAATGTATGTATATGTGGTATATTAGCGGATAATCCATGTTGATTACAACATCTATCAGCCGACACCAATATGACCATGTCTGAACAATCATCCACCTTTGAATGCAGCATTTGTATGGCAGATTTCAAAGATCCCCGATTTCTCAGTTGTTTCCACACATTCTGCACTCCCTGTCTGGAACCCATACTCCGGAAGTGGTCGAAGCGAGGAAGTTTCCCCTGCCCTTTATGTAGAGTGGAAATACAGATACCTTCCAACGGAATTAGTGGATTCCAAAAGAACTTTTATGTGCCCCAACCAAGTACTAGAAGGAGAGCAGCTACATACGAGACACCTGAAAGTGATTCTCCATGTGAAATTCATCACACACACAGGGTCTACATTTACTGCATGCCCTGTAAACAGAATCTGTGTGTGAAGTGCAAGGAGGAACTTCATGTGGATCACGATGTTGAATACATATCAGTGGCTTCCAGGAGGGAAAGGCTCAAGATGACAGAGGTATGTAAAAACGCCCAGGAATTCCTCGGCTCTGTTGAGGAGACGCTGGCTAACGCACACGTTGAATATGCGCGGATGTCGCAAGAAATAACGTCCCTGAAACATTCCGCACATGACCACGCAGAGAAGATGAAGAATGCGATAGATGAAGATCTGCTTGCATTGGGGAAACATCTCGATTCCGAACGAAAATTACGAAGGGGAAAATTACAGCGGTTTGCTTTAAAGATGAAAGAAAAACAAAAATCGGTGACTGACATTATTCAGAAAACTAATGAAATTGTTCAGAAAGATTCTGACACTGAAGTTCTAGGAAACAGTCGATCTATCATGAGTCGGCTTCTAAGTCTTGTTCGAGAACGCGTAGAATTTCCGTGTGAGGAATACTCTTTCTCTCCGCGTGAAATACCAAACCTTGGTTACAAGACTATTGGGACTGTGACAAGCCAATCAAAGTCAACTTTAAGCGTTCAAATTCCAAGGCGAGTTCTGTACGTTCCGATGTTCGAGGTAAAAGCCGTATCATCTTTTAAGAGCATTAGCGGTGAGAACAAGGTAACCAGCATTGCACCCATTTCTAGTACATTGGCTTGGGTTTGTTACAATAACGGTAAAACAATCTTCCTCTGCAGCAAGGATGGCGTTGAAAAGAGACGAATCGCTCTTCCCGGGAAAGTTGAAGACATCTCCGTCAGTCGGGAAGGAAATCTGTCCATTACCGGTCACCAAAGCAACGTCATTTGGCAAGTTGACAAGACATATACTGGCATCGTTCGTGAGGACACGTTTCCTCAAAAACCCCGACATATATGTTCAAGTTCAAATGGCCTATATGTTACATTTACTTTTGGCACAAATCTTCTGAACTTGGATTTGAAAGCAAAACTCGTCAAATTCAACGGGGATATGTCAAAAGAAAAAGAAATCCCGAATTCAGAAAATGCCAAGGAAATTTTAAAGCTCCCAAAGGGAATATCCGAACATGCGAATGGTGACCTATTAATAGCTAATTTTCGCGGGAACAGCTACTATGAGATTGTAGTCGTTTCGCCCAGCTTGCAAGTGATAGGACAATTTAGGTGCGAGACCTCGGAGGCTGAGGTTGTGAAGCCGACATCGATATGTTGTGACGTGTATGGAAACACGTTTGTGTCCGATTCGGATAAGGGCAGAGTATTTTTGATGGACAAACAAGGGGATTGCTTCCGGGCTTTTTTGGGACCAGAACATGGCATGACATGTCCAGGGGCAATCGCTATCGACGGTACAGACCACCTCTGGGTGAGCAACTCCGAAACTGGAACAGTCCATGTGTTTAGGTATATGAAATGACTCGGAAACGTAAACAGTTCGTTTGTGATACAATTGTATGATAGCAGCGGCCTCCGTAAGAGAGTTTGCGTTATTAAGTATAATTTCAAAATTGATTTTATACTTTGTTAATTTAAGTTCTGTGATTGGTTAATAGGTGTGCATGTGACCAAAACTCAGCTTTTCAGACTAGTATTATCGTCTGTTATTTTCATTGGGCTTCATTATGTTTTTTCAGTAAGCCATTGTCGTTCGTGTTTTCGATTATATGTACATAAATCAAACTTATCGTGACCAAAGAACTTGCTAGATCTACTGGTAAAATGTAATTCACTCTTCGCATGATTGATTTTTGTTTTGCTAAGCCGGCGCCTGTGTTGTGCAAGCAAATTTTTCCCCGTTCATACTTTGACCCCGCTACTAAGACGGCAACTCGAAGCCGATACTAAAACAATGACAAAACCAGACGGCAAACAGACCCCGCTACTAAGCAGTGACAAAGTAAGACGGCAAATCGAGCCCGATATTAAAACAATGACAAATCAAGACGGCAAACAGACCCCGCTACTAAGACGGCAAATCGAGCCCGATACTAAAACAATGACAAAAACCAGACGGCAAACAGACCCCGCTACTAAGCAGTCACAAAGTAAGACGGCAAATCGAGCCCGATACTATTTAGCAGTGACAAAGTCAGAAGACAAGCAGACCGCCTCTTACCAGTGACAGAGTTAGACGACAAACAGATCAGGGACAAAGTCACACGACAAGCAGACCCCGCTTTTTAACAATGACAGAGTTAGACGGCAAACAGACCCCGATACTAAAGCAGGGACAAAGTCAGACGACAAGCAGACCCCGCTTCTTAACAATGACGGAGTTAGAAGGTAAACAGATCCCGATACTAAAGCAGGGATAAAGTCAGACGACAAGCAGACCCGCTTCTTAACAGTGACAGAGTTGGACGGCAAACAGACCCCGATAATAAAGCCCGGACAAAGTCAGACGACAAGCAGACCCCGCTTCTTAACAGTGACAGAGTTGGACGGCAAACAGACCCCGCTTCTTAACAGTGACAAAGTCAGACGACAAACATACCCCGCTTCTTAACAATGACAGAGTTAGAAGGCAAACAGACCCCGATACTAAAGCACGGACAAAGTCAGACGACAAGCAGACCCCGCTTCTTAACAGTGACAGAGTTAGATGACAAGCAGACCCCGCTTCTCAAGCGTTCACATCATCTGCACCTCAATAAGTTGACAAAAACAAAGGATTAGTTCAACCCTAATGACTTGATTTTAGATCATATTGATAATAAATTACGTCTAGCCGTGATGGAAGTGTAATATACGCATTAACACCTATTAATTTATATAATTTTAACCGTTTGACGGGTATGAATTAGGGTAAAATTATTTTCCCTATGTAAGCGGCGCCAAAAGGTGGCGTGACGGTTCGAGATTTGCACGTGCAAATCCCTACCGCGTGTTACGCCGGCGACACAAGTAGCGGCAGGAAGACGTAAAATTTACTTTGTGAATTTCTAAATTTGGAGTGTCTTTTGGCGGAAACAGAATTCAAATGATTATATTAATTTTATATTCGATATCCAGATATCGGAATTCAGTGAAATTGGAATTAATCTAGCAGTGTGACTTTAATTAAATGCAATCCTTTGTTTGTAGGTGCATACATGCTTTAAGTCTATAACACGTATTGTGTTTGAAATTATTTGTTTGTTTAATAAATCAGTCGCAGTGAAATATATTTCTGTATTTTGTGTTGTTTATCCTATTTGATAATTGAATCGAGAAACTAAAATGTATTCAGATTATTTATTAAGAGTTGTTTTGTTATCAGTTTATATCGTTTAAGATATGAAGTTATTAAAATTCGGTTTTCAAAATGCCATTTCCAATGTTTCATAAGTTATGACATCGCAATAACAATGTCATTATATATAAATGGTCATACCTTCGAGTTCTACAGGTTATACGAGTTACTTCCCTTGCACTGTCTTGAGTATAAAAGCCTCGGTAATTACAATAGTACAGTAAGGGCGGATTCATGTAGGCAAAACAATTAAACCCGTCAACCAATTCAATGCAACCAACCAACCAACAATACTACTGCCTAATACACAGTTGTGCCCCCGGGACTCATTTAAGATCCCATATTTATAACACTAGTATATTTCCCTACATGTATCCATTAACTTTCCCCTCCATACCCACTATAATTAAAAATACGTCGCAAAGCAGATAGTTACGAGGAGAAAGCAGCAGTGTGGTTTTATATGAAAGCTGACATTTGTGTTGTGAAACAGAACCCCAGTGTAAAGGAGCATAAAGAATGGACTCACGTGGAAGGACGACAAAAATATATGACCAGACAACGCGCAGTACTTACCACTGATCCCTAACACACAGTCCGTCGGATGGGACTTACAAAGATTTGGTGTATTTATTAGAGTTTTAGACGGACTTCAAAAAATATACTTAATTAAATTCATCTTAGCTAGGAATAAACCGACTTGGTTGGTTTCAGGGTCCTCCTCTCTTCTCTATTACCGCGTCCAACATCTTGATGCGCTACAGATCAACGTTAGGTAACCATTTTTCGGCCCAGGAGTCGTCACGCAAAATTATACTATCCTCTGTGTAGGTCTATAGGACAGACGACTTCTATCTCCTCTTCCCTCTCCTCTCCTCTTCTCTCCTTTCTCTACATACTTTGTCCCTTCTATTTTCCTTTTGTATCTGTTCTCGTCTACTGAAAAGCCGAAAGGCCGTAAAACCCTCAATTTCAAAATCAAAATCAATATTGAACTACTCGATAGTAAAGCGGACGTAAAACCTGTCAATCAATCAATACTTTGCAGTATCGTCTGCTGGATAACCGAACTACTCGGTAGTGTAGCGGACGTAAAACCTATCAATCAATCAATACTTTGAAGTATCGTCTGCTGGATAACCGTACTACTCGGTAGTGAAGCGGACGGAAAACCT